CATCCCAAACGATGCCCTTTGCACCTCGAACGGAAAACTGGAGCAAGCACTACAGAGTCCGTGTCCGCAGACTCGTCCTTTGGCTGGATGGCGAGAATCTTAGCGAGGTGAGCTGGGCTTCTTTCCAAGGCAAACACCAGACAGCCGACGGTGTGTGTGAGAGAGAGAGAGAGAGAGACCCTGTGCGGTCAAAAGCCGCAGTAAGATAGTGTGTGTGTATGTGTGTCTAAGAAGCCTGGACCAACCTCCCTGTACACTGTCAGGGAAACGCTGCGCCAACCTTGCAGCCACCGTCCGCCGCATGGTGTGACGGGATGAAGATTTGGCCATCGCCTGAAAAGCCGCTGAAGCAGCTGGTGCACAACGAAAAATAAAGGCTTGTGATGATTGGCGCATCTATGCGCACCTACAGCGTGTCAAACTTGCGTCTGACACTCCGTGTATACGCAAAATGAATTGGCCTGGTAGCAGCCGCGCCGCGCTCGAGGACGCCGTGGAGGGCATGGGGAGAAACCTCCTTACAAACCTCGATGTCGGATCGAAGGCCGATGGTCGGCGCTCTGCTCGGTGAAGCGGCAGGGTGAGCAAGGGGGTACGAGATGGGTCCTTGGGGGGTGCCAGGACCGACAAAACTCCACGATAATCGTCTTAGATTCCCTCAGATCCCTGGAGAAAAATACCCGTCCCTACAAATCCTTCCAATATTCTTCAGATCTCCTTATGCAATCCGCTCTGACAGTCTTCAACTCCTCCACAATTTGGCTATTCCCGCCCGCTCGACCCGCCCGTCTGGTTCTGCCGTTTGTTTTCCTGCTCTCACTCCCCCTCCTGTCTCTTATGATCCATCCTTCTCCCTCCCCCTTGTCCCTTCCCTCCTCCCTCCCTCCGCCTATTCTAAGCTACATGCGGCAGGCAAGGAAGATGAGGGTACGATCGAAGTCGAAGAGGGCGGGTATCGGGGGCTCGGGACATACATGTTGAATGGCACGCGAGCAGTAAGCGATCAAACCCAAAATGATTGGTGTCGTTGTTGTTGTTGCTGCTGCTGTTGCTGCTGCTGTTGTTGCTGTTGTTGTTGGTGGTGTTGGTGGTGGTGGTGTTGGTGCTGGTGTTGGTGCTGTTGCTGTTGTTATTGCACTCTCATTTCTGAATTTCCCGCGTCAGAGCTTGCCTCTGTAGGGGTCCTAGCGGATTCATATGGTTAGGTGAAGTGCGCCACCGATTTCCACGGCCCGCCCGGGTGCCCGGGTGCCTGGGTGCCCAGGTGCCCAGGTGCCTTATAGCCGTATGACCCTATATCCTTATAGTTCTATAGCCCTATAGCCATATAGCCCTATAACCCTATAGCCTTGTAGCCTTATAGGCCTATAGCCCTATCGCCCTAGAGCCCTATAGCTCTATAGCCCTGTAGCATTAAAACCCAATAAACCTGTAGCCCTATAATCCCATAGCCCTATGGCCCAATAGCCCAATAGCCCTATAGCCCCATAGCCCTACATCTCTATAGCCCTATTGCCCTATAGCCTTATAGCCTTATAGCCCTAGAGCCCTACAGCTCTATAGCTCTATAGCCCTATAGCTCTATATGCCTATAGCCCTATAGCCATATATCCCCATTGCCCTATATCCCTATAGCCCTGGTCCTATGGCCCAGAGCCCCATAGTCCTGTAAACTCATAGCCCTATGGTCCTATAGCCCTATGGTCCTGCAGCCCTATGGCCCCATAGCCTTATAGCCTCACAGCCCTTTTGCCCTATAGCCTTGTAGCCCTTTAGCCCCATAGACCTATAGCCCTATGGCCCTATGGCCCTATAGTTCCATAGCCCTATAGCCCATAGCCCCATAGCCCTATAGCCCTAAAAAGACTTTGATTGGGTTTTTCTCCGGTATCATGTTATTGTTGACCGCCCCCCTCTGGCGCAAATTCCATTTCCAATTGAAATGCCCCTACTGAGGCTCGCACCCATTTTTTATCAAGGAAAATCTTGGGGCTCAAACTGGGCCCCTGGCCCCCGAGTTACACCAACAACGGCTCCCGCCTGATACTTCCTCACAATGTATTCCCAAGTCGCGCTTCAGCGCGGGATTTCCTCACAAGTTATGCAGGAATCGCGCTCTCGCGTGGGACTTCGTCGCAATGTATTCAGACGCCGCGCCCTCGACACTCAGGAATCACGTTTTCGCGTTGACCTTTCTCACGATTTACTTGGAAACCGCGCTATCACTCGAGACTTCCTCGCGATTCATGCAGGATTCACTCTTCGGCAGCCCGCCTGCTCGACCTGGCCGCCTGGGCCCGCCTTCCCGACCTGCTCGTTAAGGTTGACTACCCGCCCGATCAGCCCGTCTGGTTCTGCCACGTGTTTTCTGCTCGTCGCCCCCCTCCTGCTAATCTCTCTCGTGCTCCATTGTTATCTTTCCCCCCTCCACCCTCGTCTTTCCTCGATTTCGGGGCTGCGCTAAATGCACGCGGTAGGTAAGGAAGATACACCCCCAAGGCGGTACGATGGAAGACGAAGAGGGCGGGTATCGAGGGTTTGGGATACACGTGTTCAAAGGCACGCGAGCAGGCAAGAGAGAGCAGTCTCAAAATGACTGCTGCTGTTGGTGGTGGTGTTGTTGTTGAGCTCTCGTTTCTGAAGGCCTGGTATTGTTGATCCCCCCTTAGCACTTGGAATGCCCCTCCAGGGGCTCGCACCCGGTCTTTTACCCGAAAGCCTCGCGCCTCGGAGTCTGCCCCTGGCCCCCTGGTTTGCAGCAGCAGCGGCTCACGCCTGCCAGTTCCTCAAAACTTCTGAGGCATCTAGCTTTCTCGCTAAAAAGGCTTCCTCGAGATTCGCCCAGGAATCGTGCTCTCGCGTGGGACTTCCCCGCAATTTATCCAGACGCCGAGCCTGGACACTCAAGAATCACGCTCTCGCTTTGGTCTTCCGCGCGATTTACTTGGGAATCGCGCTGTCGCTAAAGACTTCCTCGCGATTTATGCTGGACTCACGCTTCGGCGACCTGCCCGCTCGACCCGTCCGTCTGGGTCCGCTCGCCCGACCCGCCCGTTAGGGTCCGCCCGCCCGATCTGCCCGTCTGGTTCTGCCGGTTGTTTTCCAACTCCTAACCCCCCGCCTGGCAGTCTCCCTCGTGCTCCATCCTTTTCCCCCCCTTGCCCCTTCCCTCCTCCCTCCCTCCCCGCACCCCCTTTCCTCCTCGCTCCCTCTTGTCACCCGTCTCTCTCTCCTCTTCCTGTTTTAGGGGGCTGCGCCAACTACACATGGCAGGTAAGGAAGATCAACCGCCAAGGGGGGTACGATCGAAGACGAAGAAGGCGGGTATCACGGGTTGGCCGTTGTTGTGCGCGTGCTTGTGGCTGTTTGTGTGCGTCTGTGCCCAAAGCCGGAGCACAAACGTGAGGAGCGCCCCAGATGTGACGAACTCACGGATCTAGCCCCGAACGTGTGTCCTGGCAGCGGGTCTTCGCCCCCGGTCCCTGTACGCGGCGTACCTTTTCGTGTGCAAGCTCTCCGGCACCGCCTGCACCCCGGGCTCCACCCGCTCCGGCCGCCTGAGGCCCCGCCTTCCTGTGCCCTGTCTCCCCAATTAAAGCTGTGCGTAGCCCGCCTAGCTTTTAGCGGAAGAGTTTCGCTCTCGCCCCGCCGACCAAAAAGTGTGTCCTGGCAGCGTGGCCGATATCTGGTCAATCGAGGCCCACTGCCAAAGCGGAGTGCCAATGATGCAAGCATCGCGCGGCCGTCCCTCCCTGGCCAGATATGATCCTCGACGGCCCTCACTTGGAAGCGGTCCACCATCAAGTTCGGGTCTTGGCCGGGGCCATCTATAACCTCCGACGGGATTGGTTGAGGCACATGGGGCATCACACAAGAGGAGGCAGCGAGCAGTTGATGATGAGAGTGGCCAGTGCTCGATGACCTTCTCCATCTCTCCCCAGGCCCCTGTCCTCTGCCCCGTCCTGCATCCCGCCTCCTCCCTCCTGTCCCTCTTTCCATAGATCTTCGCCTGGACCTCCACACCTCAAGAATCCCACTCGAGCCCCCTTGAACTCGCAGAAACAAACAGCACATTCCCTTCCCTTCCCATCCTCCTTCTCATCATGCCTCCTCGTCGTTTTCCTGGCAAGCACCCGATGCAATCATGGTAGACATGGGGTCTCGATGTCTGATCGCGTACTAAGCCAACACAACCCCGATGGCGCGATGTGGTCAGTCTCATCCTAATGCTCCTGCTCCCTACTATCTCCCCTCTTTCTTCCCCTTCTTGCTCTTCCGTCTCTCCCCTCCCTAGAGGGGGGGGATGACTGGAATCTGTTTACCGACCCGTGTTTTGAATAGAGCGCTGGTTCCACGATTCCTCCTCTCTGCCTCTGCCTCGCCTTCAGGCGACCTCCCAGCTCGCGCTCCGGGGTGGCCCAATGGAGGGAACACCAGATGTCGCGCCCGCTGCGAGGCTGCCAACTGTGCAGCAATCGCCACTCTCGCGGGCTCCTGAAAGGTCCAATGGAGCGGAGGGCGCACGCGCATCCCGTCGGGACCTCGCGGCTCCCCGGGGGCTGCCAACTGCGCAGCAGGCGCCACGCTCGTGGGCTCCTGGAAGGTCCAGCGGAGTGGAGGGCCACCTGCATGCAGTCGGGACCTCTGGGGTCGTTGACGTGGACCGACGTTTTTTGGCGAAGCGTTCAAAAGTACTGCTTTCAAAGGTATGCCTGCACCGGGCCAAGACAACTGATCGAGGGGCGGGCGTGGGAGGAGGTCGGAAGAAGCGGAGAAGGGAAAGAGGAGGAGGAGGAGGAGGAGGAGGAGGAGGAGGAGGAGGAGGAGGAGGAGGGGATGATGATGATGATGATGATGATGATGATGATGAGGAGGAGGAGGAGGAGGAGGAGGGAGGGAGGAGGAGGAGGAGGAGGAGGAGGAGGAGGAGGAGGAGGAGGAGGAGGAGGAGGAGGAGGAGCAGGAGGTTGCGCTAGCGTCGGAGCGTCCGCAGCGCCGCCTCACGGTGCGAACAGCATCGCATGTCCACCCGCCTCCCTGCGTGCATCTGGGCCCACCCAATCGCGCAGGACCCAGTCCGAAAAGAGCGCGTTGGCCCATCGGAAACCGTCGCGGTTGTACCTGTACGAGTTCTCGAGGGAGAACCCCTCGTGCAGCTTGTTCGTCCCGCAGTTCGAGGTCAGGATCTGCTCCATGCAGTGGCGCCGCTCCTCCTCGCTGTCTGCAGTCATGCGCTGCATGATAAGCCCGAGGTGCCACAGGCACTTGCCGTGGCACTCGGGGCCGCGGAGGAGCCTCAGGCCGTGGCTCTCGTGCTGCGACCCCAGGCCTTCCAGGCCTGTGTGATTCGCGCCGCTCGAGAAGAAATTGCGGCTCTCGCCGCTCAAGACGAACCTGCGGGTCGGCTCGTAGAGGCCGGCGGGATCCGCGTAGCCCAGGTAAGGCAGCCAGAGCAGATTGGGCATGCTGGCGTCGTCCATGGGTGTAGCGTTGCCCCAGCCGTCGACCTGGAATGCGTAGATCTTGTTGCCGCCGGCGTCCTCGACGACGCTATGCTTGCGCACTGCCTCTTCGACGATGCTGGCCATCTCCTCCAGCTCCGACGCGAGATCGGCATCCTTCATCGGCCCCTTCACCATCTCCGCGGCCCTGCGCAGAGCCACCACCACCATGATATTATGAGGGATGTTGTAGCCAGCCATCACCTGGTCGTCGCTGGGCATCGCGAACGACCATACTAACCCTATGCCCTCATTGAACTGCCCATTGAGCGGCTAGTATAAAGATTCCGACTTGGAGAAGTGCATCTGCTCTATGCGCAGGAAGCGCAAGGTAGCGCGCAAGGCCTCTTCGAACTCCACGTCGAGATGCGAGACCGTCCCGGTCTCCTTCCAGTACCTGTGATGCAGCACCAGCGGGAACAGGAGGGCGTCGAGCTCGTAGTCCTTCTGGTAGGTATAGTCGCCGCACTGCGGGGCGCACTTGAGGCAGTGGCACTCCGCGCAACCAGCGCTCGGCGGGCACGAGTCCTTGTTGGGGCCCGCGTCCGGGCCGTGACCCTTCGTGGGGGTAGAAGGCGGACGCGTACCTGCCTCGACATGGCGGCCTCCAGCACCCTCCGCAAGGGGCTGCCCGCCTCGCTCCTGGCCGCCCAATGGGACGTGCGGCTCCAGCTGCACGGAGCTGCCCCGCAGCCACATCTGCCCGACGCCGCCGGTGGCGCCGAGCACGGTGCCGTCGTCCCCGAAGCGGGAGAGCGCCTGGCTCGCCGAGTGGGGGAGGAGGAGGAGGAGGAGGAGGAGGAGGAGGAGGAGGAGGAGGAGGAGGAGGAGGAGGAGGAGGAGGAGGAGGAAGAGGAGGAGGAGGAAAAAGGAGGAGGAGGGAGGAGGAGGAGGAGGAGGAGGAGGAGGAGGAGGAGGAGGAGGAGGAGAGGAGGAGGAGGAGGAGGAGGAGGAGGAGGAGGAGGAGGAGGAAGAGGAGGAGGAGGAGGAGGGGGAGGAGGAGGGGAAGGCCTGGGGGGGCACCTGCTCGCGAGGGCACGCCCGTCCAGCCCGATCGCAGGGCGCCGCAGCGCTCGATCTCGCGCCGTGCGCGCGCGCCGCCTCGGCCCCTCGGCCGCTCGAAAACCGCGTCTCGGGGCGTCTCTCCGCGGAGAGGGCCCCGCGACGGCGCCTCCTCGCCGCCGGCCGCCGCCCTGCTGCGCTGTCGGCGTCGACGTCGATCGCGCTTGCGTTTTTGTGAAGGCAGTGTTCGGTGATGCCGCAGCCCCCAGAAGGGCGGACGCCAAACAGAGAAATACGCAAACACATAGAGGTCCGAGATGCATCGTGCATCTGAATTAGAGATGTACTGCTGTATGGACACGACGCGGCTTGAGAAAACATGTATTGAGCCAAAATGGCTACGGAAGAGAGGCCACGGGGTAATGGGTCGCAGCCCCCGCGAATCGCAAGTTGAAATCCGCTCGTCTTCGTCGTCGTCGTCGTCGTCGTCTTCACCCGCCTCCTCCACCCATTTTGTCCTCGTCATCATCCTCATACTTCTGCTCATCGTCGTCTGCGTATCGGCAATTTGCCCCGTATTGGAGGACCTGAAGGAGCCACGGACAGCGTACCCCCCGAATCGCAGATTGATGTCCCACTCCTTTTGAAGGGGACCTAGGTCGATCGCTTAGAACATTCCCCTTTCAGCGAATGGCACGTGACACAAGAAACCATACCGTACATCGACAACATGTTGCATCACTTTAGGCGGGCCCTGGAATGCGTGCTTCAACACTCCGTCCCCCCCCTCCCCCATCACTGAGGGAATGCGAGGAGGAGCTGCTTGGAATTCCCCAGGCGATCGACCGAATGTTGCACCACCGAACTGTCTCGGGGACCCGGGACCGTGCCCAATATCAAATGGGGGGAAGGGGGGAATGAACAAGAACTGTCGACGGCACAACGACGTACGATGTCGTGGGCACTGGGTGGTGCAAATGTTTGTCGATGCACCGTAATGAACATCCATTTGCACTAACGGGCTACGGCACTTTGGAATGATATCCTGTATGCGAAGGACCACGGACGGCCGAAACGGGTGACAATATGCACCTGCGCCGAATAATCAAAATCAGCCACGAGCCACGGGTAACCGAGTCGAGAAATATTTCGCCCTGATGGGGCCCACGAAAAAACACGGGTCACCAAATTCAGAATTAAGGCTCGCTACCGAGAAGGTACGAGGGGCCACAGGCGACCGAATCGAACGACCCCTTGCATCCAGAGGCCACGAACGACCATTATTAACCACAAGAAGATAACGGCCCACTGGTCGCCGATGTAGAAGTCGACCTGCACCGAGAGACTGCGATGGCCACAGCTACATGCCACGGGCGGGCGTCTCCACTTTCGCCAGAAACCACACATGCGAACAGACTTGAGCTGCCACGGGCCACCGACAACAAGACCGTGTTATCTTGCACAGAACGGCCACGAAAGGCAGCGCGCCACGGATAAGTGAACCGAATATCTAATGGTACCGGAGGGCTACGGACAACTGAATCGAAAGACGACCCACACCGACAGACCACGACGCTTTGCCGTGCCAACCCGCTCAGAAGGGGCCACAACACGAAAGGCCACGAGCCATGGGCAGCAACATTGAGAGTCCACTTGCGCCGAAGGGCCAAGACGCTCTTCGGAGAGCCAACTCACATGCAAAGGGCCGCGAAGGGTTACAGGTAACGGACAGACGAGTCGGTCTAATTGTACTGGAGCGCCACAGATAAGCATATCGAAAATCCAGCACGCATTACATCGAGGGGCCACGACGAAGAGCAACAAAGGGCCACGTGCCGCGGGCAACCAGGTCGAGTATCCACTTGCACTGAGGGGCTACACAACCATGGCCACGGGAAAGGACATTGGCTTCCATCGTGCAGTAACCTTAAGGGACTACCCGTTTGGGGCTGGTCTCACAAAATATTGGGACGCATCGTCAAGCCAGCTGAGATGCCCTGCGGCACCTATCCAATCTCTGCATCAAGATATTTACCGGGACCGTCTGCCGTGAAGACTGGCCCATTTTCGCCACGCAGACTGTCCTCAAGCTCGCCACCTCACGCTAGACTCAGGGCCACCGACGCGGCACACTTCCACACGTGTCGCCTACCTGCTCTGGTGACCTGGAAAACAGTTCGGACCAAGGAAAAGATAGGCAGCTAAGCCTATCCGAACAGCGAGTGGCGCGACCACCTGGGCAGAGAGGACAACATACTAGACGCGATGCGGGCATGCTGCGGTCCACGTGGAAGCTTCGGCAGATGAAGACTGGCAGCGGCGAGCGCTTCCTTCCTTCCGAGCGGCGTGACTGCGCCCGTCCGGGTCGGGGCGCCACGGCCGGCCGGGCAGCCCGGCGCGGCCCTCATCTTCCGCGGGCGACACCAAAAGTCTGCCGCGCCGGCACCCTCCCTGCGGCCGAGGGCAGACGCAGCGCCTTGAGAGCCCCGACCAGCCACAACTGGGGGCGCCGTGCTCCTCACGCCCCTGGGGGTGTCAGGGCAGTCCTCCCTGACGTTGCCCACTGGTTTTCGGGGGACACCTCGGCTCTCCTGCGGCCGCTCGGGGCGATGCGGGCATCCCTGGAACGCTCCCGGCGAGGCGCGGCTGCTGGAGAGCATCCCGCGGCTGAAAAACCGCCGAGAGCCGAGGACCCCCCCCCCCCCTCGGGGAGGGGGCAATGAAGGGGCCACTGCTCCACCAGGTGTGGCTGGCCTGGAGCCTGCTTTCCCCCTTGGTCCTCGCCGTCTCTGCTGCCGCCCCCCGACGCGGCCCTGGCGCGCGGCCTCGACGTACTCGCCCGGCCGCAGCTGCCGGATGGTCTTCGTCGTCGCAATGTTGATGCCCTCCTGCGCCCCGGGCAGCCCGCCGCAGCAAGAGCGGCGCCACGCAGGGCGTGCCCACCCGGACACCTGGAGTGGGACGCACAGAGACATGCCAGTACTACTATGTCCTCCTCGGAGGCGCGCGCCCGACCCGAACATACAGTGCACCCATCTTGTAGCATATCGTTTCACGCAGTGCGTGCCCACCCCGGACACCTGGAGTGGGACGCACAGAGACATGCCAGTACTACTATGTCCTCCTTGGAGGCGCGTCCGACCCGAACATACAAGGCACCCATCTTGTAGCACATCGTTCCCCGAGCGGCCTGGCCAGAAAGCGCCTGCCACGACGCATATACTGCAAGACTTCTCGGTGCGCGCGTTTCGCCTGGGGGGGCGACGCACACACATAGCGCTTGTATGCTGGGGGGATGCCGACAGAAGCCTCCCAGCCAGGGTCGGAGCAGACGGGGTCGGAGGATTGCGGCGCATCGTGGTTGCATCACCGGTCACGTCACGATTCGCGCGGGCGCCATTTGGGAAGTGGCAAGTAATAAGCATTCCCGGACGGCGCTGGAGCGAATGGTGACGCGACCGGCCACCTCCCACCCTGCCCCCCCCGACCACGCCCGTTATCGCCAAGGGATAGCAAAACGGTCTCTTGGGACACTTCTCGATATCCTGAAGACAGGGATCCTCCAGCGGGAGCTCTATAAACGTCACAGCAAAGTAGCGGGCACCATCGGAGCAGAGTGCGAAGTCTGGACGACAAAAGGGTGACAACGAGCAGGTGGACTCTCAAACCTCTCGGCAGCATGCTGCGGTGGCCCATCTCTCGAGTCGGTCCTTCTCGGCTCGATATTTGGCGTCTGCGACTCAGTGCCTATCTGCCCGACCGAACAAGACGGCCGAATGATTCGATCACAACCTCGATCGCTGAGGCCACCGCGCCGATCTCATGACGATCGCCATCGCAATATCTGTAAACCCTGTGATCAGACCGAGCCGATCGAGTGACCCGCGCGTGTGCTTTCGACAATCGTTATCATCGTGATATTTGGAATGGGTACGGAAAGAATGGGCACAATGCCCAACAGCAAATGTTGTCCCAAACCAACAGCGGCCGCTGTTGAGCGGGCGACCTTCTGTCTCGAATGGACACAGGCCGCGGCGGCGTGGACAGCGAGTCCTGTTCAAAATGAACAGGAACTGCTGTTGGGCATTGTACCCATTCTTTCCGTACACATGTCAGGCGTCCCGATGATAGGTGACCGCGGGACCGGCGGAGACATTGGTCAAGGACTGCAGCTGTTCTGGAACCCAAGACGCTCGGGCCTCCACCCGCACATATGGCAG